GTGTGGTGGGGGGGGTGGGGGAAATTCCCGTGTGTTTGGGGGGGGGGGGGCAATTCCATCTGTTCATCCCTCCAGGATCCCACATGGCCAGCCTGGGTCTTTGTTGCGCAAACACCCGCTCAAAGCTCAGCTTGGGGCCACTTTATCTGGGAACAAACCCGCTTGCTCTCCCAGCTTGGCCCCGCGCTGCACCCTGCAAGCGGACAAAGGGCAGCTTTCATCAGCCAGCTGCAGCAGGCACCCCCTGGCTGAGGGGGGGGCACGGCGCAGCCCACACTCCCCAAAATAGCTCTGCTAGTGGGGAAAAGCTGGCTGCACCTGCAGGATGCTCTGGCCTTCTGGTCTGTCCTGCAGCCCTGGCACATGTCACTGACACGATGGGAGACCCTGTGGGTGTTTGGGACCCCCACGGGTGTGTGCTGCCATATGCGTGCCAAGAGAGGCAGGCATGGAGCTCACACTAGTGCACGGGGACCACACACAAAAATGGCACAGTCTCCCAGCTCCCTCTCCATATCAGCACTACTGCTGTAGCTTGCAGGATTGACGGTGGGGGGACATCCCACAAAGATGCCAGATGCCCCCTCTTTTCCTTTGCCAGCAACCCAGTACCTTCCCTGTGGCAGCCAGCATGCGTCTCCATGCAAGAGGAGGAGGCTGTCCACACGCGTGTGCGAGGCACGCTGACTCACTGACACAGTGACACACTGACCCACCAGCCCAGAGGCAGGGCGCTGAGCAGGACGGTGGTACTGTTAAGTCTTTAATCTGCGGGATCATCTGGCCCTGCTCTGAGCTGCTTTAACTTTCTTAAACAGGAGGCCAAGATTAGCTGTGGGGATGAGGGGATGCAGCAGGGTTGGGGGCTGACAATAGGGAGCCATGGGGCAGAGGGAAAGGCTGCCTACGTGCTGTTTCCACCTAGGGGGGGCTCAAAACCCAGGCAGGGCTGACCTGGCCTGGGTGGCTGTGCGTGTCACCCTTCAGAAGCGGTGGGTGGCTCTGGGGTGTGCCCAAGGCACTGGAGGAGTGGGAGGGCAGGGCTGGCCCCACGCAGAGCCCAGGGCCGGGGTGGGCCTTTCCTGACAGCTTGGCCGGGGTCACACTCGGCTCAGGAGTAAATCTGTGCTGAGCTGCTTATGCGTGTTACAAAACTTGCATGCAGGCAAACCCTCTCACCTGCACCCACCACCTTGCTGTGGGGCTTAATCCCGCTGCAGCAGCCTGAGGCAGCCCAGGGACCCAGCTGGAGACTCTCCTTTCACACCAGAGAAAGCGGACGCCATGCAGGTATCACTACCTCTGCTTGGTGCTGGGGCCTCCTGGGGAACAGAGATATCCCCTGCTTGTCCCTTGCTGGCTCGAGCTGGCATGACCAGCCAGAGAAGGAGGTGCTCCCAGACTAGGACAGTGGAAAGAGAAACTGAGGCAAGCACTGACTTTTTGCAGGCCAGGGTGAGAGTTGGGGTGTTCTGAAAGCATACTGTAATCCCCATGCTGTGCCCAGCTCTGGGGGTCTCATGTGGTCAGCAGAGGGCCTTTCCCAGGGTTGTGGCTTGGGTCATATGGGAAAGCTGCTCTGGTGGCACTCTGGGCCAAGTGCGTGATGACAGGCAGGGGCATGGAGAGGACAGGCTAATGCCAAGGAAGGCAGAGTGCCCAGAGCCTGGGTAATCCTGCTAAGAGGCTCGGAGGTCAGGCTGGGAGTGTGGCCCTGCTCCCGTCACCTTCGAGGCTCACGCTAGACACAGGCAGCATCTTCCCAGGGAGCAGGATGGGGCTGGCAGGAGCTCAGAACAGCTGAGTGCTGGGGCAGGGTGAAAAAGGGCATACGTCCCCAGATGAGCGTCCCTGGGTCTCCCCTGGGGGCCTAAGCATGCACATCTAGGCCATGTTTGCTCTGAGCATGCTCTTCTCTCCTGAGCCCCACATCAGGAAAAGCCCTTTACCATGTCTAGGGCTGGGGGAAATGGGGCAGATGCAGAGCTGCAGAGAGGAACTGGGTCCCAGAGGCGGAGAGCGGCGAGGTGTGTGGGGGGGGGGGGGGGGCACCACGGGATCGCTCTGTCTCCCCCACCATGCGCTGCTGGCACTGACACACAGTGTCACGTTCTGGCCGGGAGTGGGTGGGCAAAGGCCACTTTCCCTGAAATAGCTGCTTGCACCTAGGGCCAGCCTGGCCCTTCCCCTGCATTTGGTCACTGTGGCAACCCACCGGCATGATGGGGACTGACCTTCAGTGTGAAAAACAAACAATGAGGAAAAGCAGGGCTGCCCAGGTGAGAAATTCGTTTCCCTCTTAGTTCCTGGAGTTCCCAAGCTCCATTTCCAGCTTTTGCTCTGGCACTCATGTTCTCTCCTGCCTCCCTCCGTTGTGCAGGCACTGTCCTTGCTGTGGTTTCCTTCCTTGTGCAACAGGACCTGGCTCCCTTCATGCAGGACAAGGCTGGGCCCTCAGATGGGTTATGCCAGGGGAAAGGGATCGGCTGCCCAGACTATTTGGGGCACAGGTGACCCTGTTTGGGGAAGGGAGCAGAAAGCTTTGCAATCTGCTTCCTGAGCTGCTGCAGTTCCCACTCTCTGCTTACCGTTCATTCAGTGATACAAATGACTGGGACGTGACTTTGCCCCAGTGGGAAGGTACAGCTGTGGTGGCAGGTGGAGCACCTGGCTGTGTGCAGGGGAAAATCACTGCTGGGCCCTCAAGATGCTCTCAGATCCCCAGCGAGTATTATCCTCACCCCTTCCACCACTGCTGCCCTTAGAACATTAGATGTGGTGGGAAGACAGCTGGCTGGTGGGCAGGAGGCTAAACAGCAGGGACAGGGGCTGTGCAGGGGTACGGCTGGGAAAGCTGGTGGGGCAGGGCAGTCAGGGCACGGACAGCGTGGCCAGGCAGGGGCACAGCCAGGGGAGCTTTCAAAGTGGGAGAGGGCTAGCAGAGCCACAGACCTGCGGCCAAGCAGAGATGTGTCTGGGGCACCCGTCAGGGAAGCTTCAGAAGGACTGCTGGTCACCTTGGGGACTTGCTGGGAGGGGGTGGCCAGAGGATGTCCTGGGGGAGGGCGCTCATTTCCTGAAAAGACTGAACAGAGTAGCCCCACTGCACAGGCAATGGAATTAAAGGGAAGGAAGAGGCTGTGGAGCATCCCCACTGGTGGGGAGATGCCTCCAGGTGCCCAGCGCCTCTGGGGCTCTCTGCAGATGCGTGGGGCATAGCTCCCCTCTGCCATGCTAGGGGGCCTGGGAGCGAGAGGCCTGGTGACACCCCCATTGCAGGAGGACTCGGATGGGGCAGGGTGGCCCAGGGATGCTACAGCCTCAGAAGACAGGCTGAGACGGATGGGGGCTCCTAGGCGGAGGGTGAGCCCCCTGGCCCTGCTGCCCCAACCCCTGAGCCCCCAAACCCATCTAGATGGGGAAGCCGGCGGAGTCCCCAGGCCTGCGCCCGTCCCAGCCTCAGGAGGGGTTCGGGGTGCTCATTTCCCCCTCCTTGGGGGGACACAGAGCCCAAAATCCCAGCCTCCCCTCACCT